TTCTGATTATTGAGCTAATTCCAGTGGCCTTATATTCCTGGAGCAAAGTTATTTTTAAAGGGGAGCCCATTTCTTGTTTATATGAAAACTATTATTTTTTTCATCTTTAATGCATTTATAAAGATATTTCTTAGTTTATAGTAATAACTTGATTGTATTTACTTGGTTCGTGAACACTTTTGCTTATAGAAATGGATGATGGTGTTGATGATCTGAAAATAAATCATGAAAAGAAAGAATTTGGTGGTGATAAAATGGTACCAAACTCAAGTTTTGTACCGTTACCATCAGCTGCCATCGATCATCAGATTGAAGTTCTTCTGTCTGAGTGGAGTAAAAATGCAGACATGCTATTCAGTATTCATCCCATGGATGGCTCTTTGCTGGTTTGGCATGTGGATTGGCTGGATGAATACCAGCCTGGTATGTTTCGCCAAGTACAGGTACTGTTATGAACTCTGGAGAGTTACCTCTTGTGGGCACTGTTTTGTAACATCTCTTTGTATAATTTCATGTGTTCTAATTCTCACTTTCTTACTCCTAGGTGTCCTTTGTTTCCAGAATCCCTGTAGCTTTCCCCACAGGTGATGCGAACTCGCTCTGTAAAAGCATAGTGATGTATGCCTGTACCAAGAATGTTGACTTGGCTATTCAGCAAGGGAAACAAAAGCCTTCTAGCCTCACACGCTCCACATCAATGCTTATCTCTTCTGGTCACAGTAAATCGACTAATAGCTTAAAATTAAGTATTTTTACTCCAAATGTTATGATGATTTCAAAGCATGCTGATGGCTCTCTGAATCAGTGGCTAGTCAGTTTTGCCGAGGAATCTGCTTTTTCTACAGTTCTCAGTATTTCCCACAAGTCCAGATACTGCGGTCATCGCTTTCATCTTAATGATTTAGCTTGCCACTCAGTATTGCCATTATTGTTGACAACATCACACCATAATGCATTAAAGACACCAGATGTTGATAACCAAAAACAAGCTTATGATGCTTTAAGTACTGAAGAACATTCTTTGGCAGAACAGAATAAAAGCACCGTTGATGTGGCATTTCAGGGTCCCAATGCAGTTTATAGTGAGCTTATTCTTTGGAGGGTTGATCCAGTTGGGCCATTGTCTTTTTCTGGAGGTGTTTCTGAGCTTGCCCGGATTAATTCGCTTCATGTTTCTGCATTTTCCAATGTGGCATGGCTGCCCACTCTTATACCCAGTTACTGCCTAGGTAAGCAGTCTGATTTTTATTTAATAAATTTAGATGTTGTGACATTATTGCATAAGGATTAAATTTTAAATGTTTGTAAATACTTTGTAGGTGCATACTGCAATTCTCCTAGTGCATGCTTTGTAGCAAGTGATGGACAATATCTGAGATTATATGAAGCAGTTATTGATGCCAAGAAACTTCTATATGAGCTTTCCAATCCTGAAATTTCTGTAAGTAAATGGCTTTTAAAACTATATATGTGAGTTTTTTAGACACTTAGTTTATACTTATTGGGCATATTCTAGAATTGTGACATAATTTATAATTTATAATAAATATGTATATATGTTTTAGTTATTTTTTTCATAATTGCATTATACCATTACAGTAATTCTAAGTTCCTTTAAAATGAAACCATTTCGTTCATTAATTTTAGAAGTAGTCTAGTGTCCTACAATATTTGTTTCTGTAATCTTTTTCCTCAGAGATAAATGTGGATTAATGACAATATAATGTGGAAGTTATTGGGTCATCTGTAGTTTTTTCTAGGCAAGGGTAAGCTGGAATAACAGGAGTGGAATTTTAATTTTAACCAATGAAGGAAAAACTCTCAGCTTGGTTGCAATACAGGCAGGAGTCCTTTCAACACCATTGCAAAGCTTGTGTTTTAGGACAGGTGGCACTTCTTCTTGTGCCCAACTAATAACAGTCCACCATCTGCATTGTTTCAGCACCTCCAGCAAGCCAGTATTTCCACTTTCTTGGCTGTGGTGTTTTAAAATATCCCCTGAGATAACCTTCAGCCATACTGAGCTTTCCGTTTAGGAGATTGAAGCCATCTCCTCAACTACCAATTAATGTTTTGTTAATGCTCTGGTTATAGAATTGGATAGGTGTCAGTGGTCTGCTCCTATCCTGTTTTATTTCTGAGCTGTTTTTACTCTTAATGCATAGTTTTGCAGAACACAGTTTTTCAAGACATATAGTGTTATAGTAGAAAAACGTATTTATTGAGGACCTATTTTTCAGGAATTGTTTTAAATGCTGTGAATTTAGATGTGAACAAAACAGACAAAAATCTGAGCTCTAGTGAAGGAATTTGGGGGGTGGGGGAGGTGAAGATATATTAATAAATACTGTGGAGAGAAACAGTAGAACTAAAGACATAGGGGAGTGCTAAGTAAGGTGCTAATCAGAGAAAGCTTCACAAAAAAGGTACCATTTGAGTAAAGACTGGAAGGAGATGATGGGGCTAGCTATGTGGATATTTAGAGCAAGAGTATTTAGAGGAAGAGGAACAGTCAGTGCAGAGGCTCTGAGGCCAGGCCGTGTTTGGTATGTAAAGGAGCAGCAAGGAGACCATGTGGCTGGAGCAGAGTAAATGAGGTGGAGGGAGAATATTCAGGGATGAGTCAGAAAGTCAGCCTGGCCAGAGCACGTAAGACCTCATATTCTATTGTGGTAACTTTAGCTTTTACTCTGAATAGTATAGAAACCATGGAAGAAAATGACAGAGTGATAGAACTCACTTATGTTTTAAAAGGATCACTCTGATTGCTATATAGATTAGATATGGGAAGCAGAAGTGGAATCAGACCTATTCAGGAAGCTACTACAGTAGTCTGGGAGAGCATCAAAGGAGTTTAGAAAGGTAGGTAGCCAGTGGTAGTGATAAAGATGATAAGAACTGGTCAAATCTGGATGTTTTGAACATCGAATAGTCAGGATTGGACTGGCTATGAGGCTTGTGTGAGAAAAAGAGAATGACTCCCAAGTTTTGTGTCTGAGCTTAGGAATAGTAGAATTGCCTCTCAGTTGGGAAGAGAAGAATGTTTAAGTAGCAGATTTTGAGGAGCAGGGGCATTCATGAGCCTGGCTTTAAACATTTTAATTTTGAGATGCCTGTTTGACATCTAAAAGACTCAGTAGGCTATTATCTAGAGAGGGAGGCTGTTCTGAAGATATAAAATAAGTTGTCAGAATATGAATTTAAAGTTGTGGAGCTGGATGAGTGAGGTCACCGAGGGAAAGAATATACTGTAGTTGGAAAGTAGAAGTGATAGAATCCTGGGTCATTGTATTGGAACCCCAGTGAAGAAAATTATTTCAAGGAGGAGGCAGTGATCACCAGAATCAAATGCTGCTGATAATCAAGTATGGTGCAGATTGAATTTAACAATGTGACCTTGACTGGAGCAGTCAGGATATAAGTGGCTCAAGAAATCAGCATATATAAACAGTATGTCAGCGTGTTTCTTTCACTCCATCCTTCTCACCTGAAAATTAATGCTTAAAAAAAGCCATTGAATCTTAGAACATTTCTATGAGCCTGAAGGCAGTCTTTCACATTTTTGGATATGAAATACTTTTCCCCAAGCATTGCTTTTATTTTTCTCCGTACCAACTGACCTGTAATTCTTATTCATTCCTGTGTAATTCCCTAATAAGGTCAAGTCCTAGAATGTTTATAATGAAAGAGACTTGTGAACTTATTTAGCACTGCTTGAACCTATTTATGATTGATCTGTTATGCCTGAAATTC